ATCCTAACAAAAAGATACTCGTTCACGCGATTCCAAATATTTTAAAAGTTGGAATTAGAGACCGAACATAACATAGTAATTAACATTCTCCGAAAAGTACAAAAATGCACCACAGTGATTTGCTTCTATAATAGCGTGAACACACTCATCATCATTATCAAGCAAACCCATGATATAACACACATCTCTAAAAGTAGGATAGATAACACTGCAATAAGTCATCACACTTTCAAAATGACACAGCCCTCTTATTTTGAGCAGGAGAAGTCTCAAATAATACACGTCATCAAACGATTCTAGACAATATTCCAAATGTGATGATCGTAGTCACCTGACTGGCCGACGTACCCAACAATCCTGTTTACGATCCCATACCCACTCAGAAGCAAACTCGAAATACAAAATTCTCCTGGTATATGGATACTTACGATTACATTCCATCAAACCAATAACATATGTTTCGTAAATTGAACAATTAAAGCACAATCAACCTCAACATCCAGCGAATGCGCTAAAGCTAGATCGGAAGACAATATATTAAAACCTGTAAATATCGAAAATACAAAACCATAAAATAACATCAAGATCAATGGTACTGTCTTACAGATAGGAAATTGATATAGAACCAATTTATTTTCAAATATTTATCTTTCGAAGCCATAACAAAACACCCAATAGAAACAACAACTTATGAATAACCTATGAAAAACATATATGATATATATATATATATATGTATATATAAACTTTGGAATTAAGTTTTCGTAAAATTACTATATTTCTAATAATTTAATTAATAAGGATAAATACATGACTACTTGCGCCACAAGAAGATTATCATAAAGTTAACAAATCTACAATTAATTGTTATCAATATGGGCTTATAATAAAGATTAATACAAAAACACAAAGACAATATATTCTGTATAAAAATATTGGGTTTAACTCGAGTTTAAAAAAACAAAATACAATCTGTTAACGAACATGACATTAGGGGTGGTGGTGGGGGGGGGGATAAAAACATAATTTTGCATATATTTTCGACTTTCGAGCTATTGCATTAGTTTTAAAGTTTACATCTATAATATGATTTATACTATTATGTTTACTAAATTTATTAAAAACTATCACAATTTTTGTGCTTGACTATAAATTATTTAATATATCATGTAATTTGAGATTAAGAGATTAAAAAATAAAAATTAATATATTACAATATAGAATAAAAAATTAAAATAGTTTAAAAATATCCATTACTTTATAAACTAATGAAAAGTAAAGTATATCTAAAATATTAATGATCAATTCCTAAGTGCGCATGTTAGGTCCATTAAAGCATCAACTCTGGATAGCAAGGGATTCAACAAAACACTGGTGTAATTATAATAAGTTGTTGCTCTCCAGTAAACAGAATGAATCAAATAAATTAGATTAGCTCCATTTTAAACATTTAATGGATTGCAAATATAAAGATTAAACCAACCTGAGTATCGTATTATTCTGGCAAGTCTTATAATACAGACATTATCTTTATGATTAGAACAATTAAAAGAATCAAAAAATTCTGTAGCATACTCTCTTGACAATCGATACGGCAAATGGAAATTCCTGTGTTTGGAAATAATAAGACGTAAAATAAAAAGAAATGACATTAAAATAAACATTAAACCTAAACAAAACATATATAATATATACATCTCATTCTCTGAGATCAAAATATATATGTCTTCTTATGCTATGACTGAGACATATCACACGGTGCATAAAATTACCAACATTGCAGGCTCTACCGATTAAATCTAAAAATCAAATTTAAAGATCAATCAAAATAGAGATTACATATAACAGACAAATAAAATAAAATAAAATAAAATACAAATTGTTAATAAAACTAACCTACACAAAAATCAGATTCAATATTTCCGTTTAAAACATCCTCCAGTTAAATAAAAGAGAAATATTGACTTGAGTCTATGCATATGGTTTTGAAACATTGGGTCTTTGTAAACTCGATCATAAAGTAGTGAGGGACAAGCCTGAAAAAATCGAGATTGCAGCAATAGTTTAAAATTAACCAACAAAATCCAATCTTCTTCTTTAAAAAGGTCTAACATATTATCGATGCACGCATGTTTTATAAAGCATGTATCTTATCACCATGAGAAGCGAAACATCAAATGAATTGAATTTTCATGATACATAAAAAGGAACAACAACAATTTTAAAAACAGAAATTTTATGTTCACCTTCTCATCAGTTAAAATTAGGTCCAAAGACTCTTCCACCCATGATAATTTGTGAACATTGGCAAAACTTTCACTTTAATTCTCCAAATATACGATAATGGATCTAGATCACAAATGCCAGAAAAATGCTGACTATAGAGACGAGGAATAGTCCGAGAGAGAAAATAGGCCATTAAAAGATATTTCAAAAAAAAAAAAGTTGTGATGAAATATATACTTTTATATATTCTTTATATAGGAATAGATCGACTTAGAAATTCTTCATATACATTTTTCTCTTTTTTTGGAAGTAACAATTTTGAAAATAATAACAAATTTTAGGAATTTTCTTCTTGGTATAGCACTTAAAATGTTAATAATGATCTAAATACCTTTTATAACACAAACGCAAATAAAAACTACCTATATTAAGTATTTTCCGAAGATATTGTAAATTTCAATTAAGATATATAATCTCAATAGAGCAGGGCATATAATTATATACATATCAACTATCTCACCATATACAGAGAACATATCAACTACTTCACCGTATATCGAGAAAAATAGCTAGAAGACTAATAAAAAGGAGAGAATATCCGGTTGGTTTCAACAATAAAAACACTGCATCCAATTCATCATACGATATGAAAAAAAATGCAAAAACAAGAAATTAAACTAATAATTCCTAAATAAACAACTGAGATCACCAAGACGAACAACTTAAAAAGAACAACAATACTATTAAATAAAAATAAACAGTATAAATTATGAATTAAAAACTCACATGGTGATACGTTGGCAGCACCATAGTTGATTATAACCCTGATTGGAACAATGAAACTATACTTCGATGAACAATTAGTTAGATATGGATGTAAATGATTAACCATATCAAAGACAACAACTCAAAATCAGAAAAATAAGCCACGGTAATAATGAACTACTATAGAATTATAAGAGATGTAACCCTAAATGTATATTTTCATTGAAGACAATGTAAAATATTTATACAAAAAAATAAATTAGGACTAATAGCATATCTTTATGTATCTTAAAATTTATATATATTATAAAATATAATCATATCTTTTCTTGATGATATGAAATAGGATTTATCTTTTTTTCAAATATCACATAACTAGGTATTTCACCGCACAAGGTGCGGGGTTCGATTAGATTTAAAAAAAAAATAATAACATTAGTTTAATTATAGATGAAAAAATCAGATTTTATAATTATTTGAAATCAAAATTAATATATTTGAAAAATAAAATTTTCATGAGATATATTATTTTTTGGTCACATAAATCAATTTTCACAATATTTACAATTTTACTTGTGACCGCATAAATCAGTTAGGTTAATCAAAAATATTATTAGGTTTAACAATCAAATTAAAATTAGTTTAAGAAAATAATTAGAATTGATTTTTTTGTGATTTATGCTAATTTTCTTTTTTAGTAAACTGAATATTCTTATGATATATACTCAAATTTGGAAATTTAAGTTTAAATAAAACAAAAATTAAAATTAAATTATATTAATTTGTTAACTTCATTAAGGATAAATAAAGTCTTTTCATATAAGGTGCAAGTATTAATCAATCATTATAACTCTCAATTACAGCCCAATTTGCTTGCCAATTAATAATATGATATATTACAAATCTGAAATTGTCTTTTTCCTATGCTGATATAATATATAAAATGCTTATATAATACATAATTAGCTTTCAATACAATTTTGATGTATATAACGGAAAAACATCATCATAATTATAAACTAATATATAATTATTAGATAATTTAAAGATGATATAAAACAGTGATTAGTATTATTACAAAATTAAACAATCTAAACTTTATATTTATTAAAGGTATTAATATAATTCAGATTTTAATTTTTATTCCTAACCCAAATTACTTCACTTTTAATAATATAGATAAAAGAATAATGTTGTACAAAAAAGATAATTTTAATTTTAAATAGTAGATATGGAAATTTAATTGTAAGATCTCTGTACACAGAAAAATATCTGTTGACCAAAATAATGATAAAATGTACCGTCAAGAAATGTTTGCCATCAATAATACATTAGAGCATCTCGAACGGGAGATGCTTCATATAAGGTATTTCATAAATTTTATATCAGTTTAATTTAATAATATAATTAAATTATAAATCTAAAAGGAAAGAAACCAATAACATAGTGCCACATATAGAAAGAAATCTTTTAAATAGTCAAATACCATCTCTCAAATCTTTCTTTTAAGAGTCTCGTTTAGCTCTCTCTTCACCTTTTTTAATTTTTTTAATATTTTTAATATTTAGATGTGGGATAAGAATCTCCCGTTGGAGGTTAGACTTATCGAGTCACTGTTGAGGTTCATCATCCCCATTTTCTCCCCTCTGTTCATCCTTCAAACATAAGTGGAAGAAGAAGAAACGTAAAGTTGACATCGTAAGTTTTCTTTCACTCTCCTCTTTATCATCCGATTTTAATTTCGATGTCTTGATTTTTCTTGCATTTGATCTGGGGAAAAAACAGAAGAGAGCTTTATGTAAATCTAGTTTTCTATTTGATTCCCCAATCTAGATTCTTGAATTAAATGAAATATACTAGACTGGTATAAACCAAAGTCAATCAAACTTTTAATCTTTTTCTTAATCTGATTATTCAAATATGGATCTTGTTAATGAATACGACTTTAGAAGACAAGTGTGTTAAGTTTATTCATCTCTCGTTAACTCTTCGCAGATCCAATATAAAGTATGGAGGTTACACAAGAAAAGTCTGAGAAGCAAACTTGGAGAGACCTTCCCTTGGAGCTTCTAATCTCACTAATGGCGTATCTTGAAATCGAAGATAATGTACGCGCATCTTATGTATGCAAATCGTGGTACGAGGCAGCAGTTTCGGTTAGAATCATAGACCAGCCTCCTTGGCTCATGTACTTCCCTAAACCAAGAAACTGTTATGAGTTTTACAATCCATCAAACTGCAAGAAACATACAATGGAGCTGCCTAAATCACTAGTAGGCTCTAAAGTCCGTTACTCTAAAGATGGATGGCTTCTTATGAGCAACTGCATTTCATCAGACTTCGTCTTGTTCAATCCATTTACTATGGATCTTGTGGACTTGCCTTATCTTGAGTTATGGTATGGTTACCAATTAGTCGGATTCTCTTGTGCTCCTACATCAAGCAACTGTGTGGTTTTCACGATCAAGGATTATGATCCGGGCCACGTGACCATCCGAACCTGGAGTCCCGGTGAAACCACGTGGACTTCGATGCAGATCGACTCTCAGTTTCTTGATGTCAAACATAACTATCTCGTCTTCTCGAACGGTATGTTTTACTGCCTCAACTTAAGAAACCACCTCGCGGTTTTTGATCCATCTTTAAGGACATTCAATGTCCTTGATGTACCGCCACCTATATGCCCTGATGACGTCGATGAAGAGAGTTGGTATGAAGGAAAGTTCATGGTGGGTTATAAAGGAGATATATTTGTCATATGTTCATTTGGAAATCAAGATCCTTTGGTGTTTAAACTCGATCTTACGCGAGGTGTTTGGGAGAAGAAGGGAAATCTCGGTAGCTTAACGATCTTTGCGAGTATCAATTCATGTGAATCAAGAACTTATGTTCAAGATGGGATGTCAAGGAATAGTATTTACTTCCCTAAGTTATGTTACAACGAGACTCGTTGTGTGAGATATCTGTTTGACGAAGGAAGATACCATCCGCGTGAGCACAATATTAACTGGGGAAAGCAGAGATCGTCTAAGAACATTTGGATTGAAGCTCCTAAGAACTTTGAATTAGTTTAAAAGTTGTTTTGTAAGCAGTTCACATGAGTTTGGTAAGAGGTTAGATTAAACATAAGAGTTCTCTGTAGTTTCGTTGTGACTAAACTTGTGTTTCCTCATTATCAGTGTTTAGTGTTTGGCTTAATTGGATCATTGTTGATGCATCATGCATACATTTCATTCTTTAAGCATTTCTTGAAAAGTAAGAATAAACGTTGCAAATTAATTAAACGTGAAGAGAACTGACCATTAAAAACAGAGGTTATGATGCTGAAGTCCATAACGAGACCTGCTGAGTAATGCTTTGGTCTGAATCTCCTACCACATAAGTTTTAGTGAGTTGTCCTAATGATTAATAACTAATTATGCCTAATGTGTGTTTTAAATTTCTAATAATTATTAAAGTAGTGGATTGTGGCCGGTAGTGTTATATGAGTTATGAGTCTCATGACACTAGAGACAATGGGTTAGTGAGAGTTGTGATCTCGCCGTATCGTACTAATGTACAAAAAGTAGACAAAAATGTTGAAAAAGTATGGTATACTCCCACTCAAATAATATGCATTTTTGGGCTATTAACTAGGCCCTACTATTAGTAATGCAATTAGATGTTACAAAAAAAAAAATGTAATAACCTGCGCAAAGAAATCTAAAACAATTTTACCAAAGATGATTTTGAGATTGTTTAAAGTGAAAAAATTATTATTTATATGTAAGTTAATAATATGTATAAATAACAGTAAGATTTGTTTATAGAATTTTATAATCAATTCTAATATTGTTTTTTTAGAGAAATATAAGTGCATAATTAGACTAAACCGCAAAAATTACACTCGTAAAAATATCAACATTTTAAAAACATAAATAACTATAAATGTTATTTTATAATATTAAATATACATAGAAAACATATTATATATTTTTGAGTTTAATATTGTTGGTTAATTATCTGAATTATATATAATTGAATCAATATTTATAAACTCTCAACTTTTTATCCAATAAAAATATTGATAATATCAAAAACAATTGAACAGATTATAATATAATATCCTAACGAAATAATATTTAAACTTTTTGACCAAGATATTTTTTATTAAACAATTTTTTTAATACTTAACTTTTTAGTCAAACTATAATATTTTTAATATTTTATCTTTTTGATATAATAATCTTTGAACTTTTTTATCAAATTTAAATATTTATATTACTTGGTTCATTATTATTTATTTGATTTATTTATATGATTCTATTACAAAAATCTATATTAAACCAAAAATGCATATAAATATGAACGTCTATAAAATCAATTTTTCTGTTTTCACAACTTTTTTGTTATTTATGTTCTTTATGTAATGATTTGTGAATCATCTACACTTATCTATTTCCAATGTGTGATTTTGCAAACATATTCATATATGTTCATCTTTTGAATAATTTATATCCGTCTTTAAAAAATTTGAATTATAACACATGTACCAAATACTCTATATATGTTTTTATTATATAGATAATGTGATGATTGTTTTTTACAAGAATATATTTTTTTTAAAAAAGACAAAAAATAATTAATATAATATATGTTTAGTAAGAAATAAAAAGAAAAAGAATATCTTCATAAATTAAATGTTGAATCATGTATAAATAATTTATATAATCTGTTGACCAACCAAATTTATGTGAATGAATATGTTTATGGCACATTAGCATAATATCGTAAATATAATATAAAATTAAGATTATTCTTTAAAAATACTTCTCAATTAATATATTTAAGTTATATATAAGATTTTTAAGAATTGTTTTCTAATATGTATTGGAAATGTTTCATATATTAAATGAGTTATATTATTTTTTGTCTCTTGTCTTTCATATATTATGGACTTTTAAATGGAATGAAATATAAAATAGACTTAATTAATACGTTAACCTATTTTTATGTTATCAATTAGAAGAAACCAATTATGATTTATTAGAAAAATAGTGTTTCGATTATAATCAATTCTGCTTAATTAGTAATCATCATTATTAGTTGGATATAAATTTCTTGTTAAATTGATTTGAATACAAAAAATTTTCTATTGGTTTATCGTATGTGTCAAATCGAAATCATTTTAGGAATTAGGTTGAGAAATAATTTAATTATGTTAAGCAAATGATTCATTGCCCACTCTGTAATATGAATCATGTAAATGATTTTGAGGGGGAATAATATGAATAGTGTTAGTCTAGTTGGCTGTTTTAGAGTGTGGTGATTTTGATGTCAAAAATTTGAACCCATTTCGTTTATGTATTTTTTTGTTGTTGCAAACAATATGTATTTATCCTTTTTACTGAAATTAGAAATAGAAATGATGTTATATAATCCAATAGATCGATTATAAACATATTTTTTTGGTTAAGATATTATGTTTAGTTGATATTTAGATTATATTGAAGAAAATATTTTGGAAAGTATTTCTTCAATAAAAATTTCAATACTTTAAGAAATTCAATTATATCAAATTTCCAGAAAATAATATAATTTGAGTGAAGTTATACATTGTTATTATAAAATTTACATAATGTTTATTTTTTAGATTAATTTGGTAGTATTATATCATTTGAATACTTAAAAAAATTTCATATCATATATTTGGTCATAAAAATGCATAATGGCACATTATGTAATTAATCTAGTAATATAAATCTTTTTCATAAGTGTGTTAAAAAATTTTATGGTGCTGACACATCATCAAAATGACACCATTATAAATATTAATAAAAATAAAGTTAGTTTCTAAAAATATTTCTCAATGAATATATAAAAGATATAACCTAATATTAATTATACTCAATATTATTGGAACATGTGAGGAAACTTAGAGATTATATTTTTTTCCACATTACTAATGCAATCAATAACCGGAGATTTTGGTTGAAGCAAACTAATCAATGAGTATTTTATTATAATGGTTTATGATCAATATTACATTTTACAGCGAAAAAAACTCGAATTTTGATATCACATATATAAATTGGATATATATTTTGTTAACAAAAAGAAAATTGGATTTTAGCAGTCTAACTCACACAAAAATATCTTTCAACTATTGTACCACCATGAATTAGTTTAAATCAATCAATCACAAACAAAACCTGAATTTTTCTTTTATAATTGTGGTAAAACCAATACGAGAATTGAGAAGCATTGAAAGTAAACATTTGACCAAATAGAAAAATTTAAATAGAAGAAAAATGCAAAGAAAAATATGAAAATTAGAATAGAAAGTCTTCCAAAAATGTACGACCAATATATGTTTGGTAATAAAACACAGTCACTGATGTGATTTATAAATTGTCTGTCTGTCTCCATACTTTTGAAATGCAACTGCAAGCAGAAGAAGACGAAACAGGCGAAATCGTGAGTTTTCTTAAGGATCCTTTTGTATATTTTTTTTCAATTCATTTTACCAGATACCATTAGTCTTCGATCGAGTCTCACTGATGCTAACTTGTGCCGAAACTTGTGATAGTTTTCGGGGGAAGGGTTGGCGCAAGTTAGCATCGACTTTGGTTGACGAAGACCAGATCGAGACTCTCAAAGACGAAGACTTGATGATTGATTCGATGAAAACGTAACTGGGTTTTGATTTATTTTCCGTGTTCCTTGCCCAAACCAGCTTATTTCGTTGAATCACTCGCTGGATTAAGGGAATCAAATTCGAGAATCCGAAGGTGAAAATCTCCAAGTTCCTGAGTTCAAAGGTAATATTTTTATTGGGTTTTATGTGAAAAAAAAAATCTAGTTGTAGTATGTTAATTTGTGTTTTGTGAGCATCGTTGGATTTTTTTTTTAATAATCTGATGTATGTGGAACTACTTTTTGACTTGGAAATCTCAAAACGTTGACGTGCTTTAAACTCAGAGTCTACGATTTTGGGTGATTTTATTGGGTTGTATGTGAGTACTCCAGATATAGTATGTTGCTTTATTGGGTTGTGTGTGTATCTAACAATCTTTTGATACATACAAATCTACTCTATGATACTAATGAATTCAATGTCGATATCTTTGATTGTAGCGACTTCTTCATTTGCTCTGCAGTCTTATCAATTGCTTATGGTTTTATCCTTTTTGATCTGACAATTACTATCATTTTTCACTTAAGGATTCTGCCATTTGGGGCCTCATCTGTATTCCTTGAAGTGGCTCATCTTGAGTTTGTTAGAACTAGTTTCAACTTTCTGGAAATTGGCCCACCAAATTTCATGAAAACGGTGTTCTTAATCAGCCCTCCTCCTGTTTATTGAAGAGATAAGTCATCAGGTTGACTCCCCAACACTGCTTTATTTATACTTTCTGTGTGATTTAGAAGCTTAGCAATGTAATACATTCAGGAGAAAAGTTATTTACTTTTTGCATTTTTCAATTTATTTCAAGTATTTTAGATGAATGTGCCACATCTTTAGCTTCTTGCCCTTCCAATGGGAACTGGAAGTAGACAAATTTGTCTTCCCCACTTAAATTGTCATTGAGGCTTATGCTTTTTGATAATGAACCAAAAAATTTAACTTTTAGCTGAATTTTGTGATAATGGCAGGTCCTTATTTGAAATGAAGTCCTATGAACACGATGGAGTGGACTTGGAAGATGGGAAGACACGGAAAGCCGGAGATAATAAGCCAACTCTGAGGAAGATACCTAACCAGGCTTTGTTATCTGGTTTAGCTTATTGCGTTTCATCATGCAGCATGATCCTGGTGAACAAGTTTGTTCTTTCCAGCTACAACTTCAATGCTGGGATATTTTTAATGTTATACCAGGTACGTTCCTGTAGCAGAACAAGATTTAGTTTCTCTTTCACTATGCTTTGGATTTTTGAATTATGCATCAGTAAGTTTATCTGTTGGTTGTTAGTTTTCATATCCTCAACTCGTCTGTGATGGTGCAGAATTTGGTCTCAGTGATCATTGTGGTGATTCTGAGCTTAATGGGTCTTATAACAACGGAACCACTTACCTGGAGATTGATAAAGGTCTGGTTTCCGGTGAACGTGATATTTGTTGGCATGCTTATCACAAGCATGTTTAGGTAGGAATGAGTTTTTACGCCTTTATATACTTTTCTCTCTAAAATCTCATCTTCATGTGCTATATGTGGAAGACTCTTTCCCTTTACAATTTCGTATTCCTTACTTTCACTCCATCACTTGAGAAAGTTTAAAATTGTTGGCCAAAACAAGACTTCTGAAAGATTACTAAATTATTGAAGCTGTTGGGACTACTAATGCTAACTATATGAACATTTACAACAAAATTAGGATTGCATAACCTGTAGAGTTTGTAGATAGCTTTACAATATTGTATCTTATAGGACAACTTTTGAACTTTGGATTTGATTTGATTGTCTGTTTCAATTTCAATTTTTTTCTTTGACAGTTTGAAATACATCAACGTAGCAATGGTCACTGTCCTGAAGAATGTGACTAATGTAATAACAGCAGTTGGTGAGATGTATCTATTCAGCAAGCATCATGACAACAGAGTGTGGCTTGCTCTCTTCTTAATGGTACGTTTTGTCCACTTTAAAGGTTTTCCAAACTCAATCTGTAAAATTATCATGCGAGAAGAAAGTAGAAAGCATATCTTCTTACAAATGACCACCACTTGTGAGCTTACTCTTGTTCAAGCGGCCTCATTGATTTGACAAAGCCTTCTCATTCATGTTTTCTTGATGGCCACTCATTGTGGTTATGTAATATTTTGTTTGATATATAGTCTAATGATAGATTCTCCCCCTCCTCTATGCAGATCATTTCTGCAGTATCTGGAGGGATAACAGATCTATCTTTCAATGCCGTTGGTTATGCTTGGCAAATTGCTAATTGCTTCTTAACTGCATCATACTCTGTGAGTAAAGTTTTGATCTTTTGCGCTTTTACCACAATATCTACTTGAGTCATTTGAAACCATAAACACAAATATGAAAAAAAGCAGAGCACATTTAATCATTGTTTTAACGTCTAGTAGTACAAGCTTTTTCTTTAAGACTAATTCTTGAAATGGTTCTTCTCTATAATCATTATTATGTTCCTTTCTTGATTCTTTTTTGAAGATGCTCATAAGATTCAATAAAATTGTCCAATCCAGTTCATAAAAACCTCTATGAATGTTGGCTTGTTAGCGACTATTCCTCTTGACATTTATGTGTACCTCTTATTTTTCAAATTTGCTTTTAATTTGTTGTTTTGCAGCTGACATTGAGAAGGACCATGGATACGGCCAAGCAAGTTACACAATCTGGAAACTTGAATGAGTTCTCCATGGTCTTACTTAATAACACGCTTTCATTACCGCTTGGCCTCATTCTTTCTTTCGCTTTCAACGAGATAGATTATCTGTATAACACGTGAGTTACTTCCTGTCCCTCTTGTCCTATCAAGCAAGAAATGGTTTGTGTTATCTTTAAAACAAAGTGGTTGGTGTATTATGCTTTGTGCAGACCGCTTCTTCGGTTGCCCAGTTTCTGGATGGTCATGACACTCAGTGGACTTCTAGGTCTTGCCATTAGCTTCACTTCAATGTGGTTTCTTCATCAAACCGGAGCTACAACATACAGGTATAAAATATTAGAGAGTAAAATGGAGTTTCAAACTCTGTTCTTCCTTCTGTGACATCTTATGTTTAATGCAATTTCTACAGCTTGGTGGGATCTCTGAACAAGATACCTCTGTCTATCGCGGGGATCGTTCTTTTCAATGTACCTACGAGTTTGCAGAACTCGGCAAGCATACTCTTTGGTAAGCATTGCTCTCTGTTCCATTGCCTTCGTCCACACACATCTTCTCGTTCTGTTCATTAGCCTGAGAGATGCTTGTTTTGCTATGCAGGTCTTGTGGCTGGAGTTGTTTTTGCTAGAGCCAAAATGAGAGAGAAGTCTTAGAAACACATGAATTAAGCTTCCCTGATTAAGTTGTTTGTGGGGTAGAATTGGGTTTCAACATCACAGTTATAGTGAAAATCGTTAACTATTAAAGCATTTTGCCACATTACTCAATGACTAGTGATAAAGATTTGTAGTAAAGTATTTGATTCTTGAGTAGTAAAGGAGTTCTAGTTTATGTGTTTCTTGGTTTTTGACCTGTGTCACGTTTTAAGAAAAATACAATATTACATGATAAAAGCTGGTCGGAATTTTCGAAAACATTTTCTTCAACTGACAATATAATATTACATTAGGTATATATCTGTGCTACGCTGCAGAATATATTTCTAGATTTTATATATATTTTTAATATAATAAAATATTTTATAATATAAATGAGTAATATATTTATTTTTATTATATTTATATGTTTTAAATCTGAATAAACATTATTATATTCTTAATTTTTTTTTTTCAAAATTATAATATACTATTAAATTTGTTTAGCTAACTATCTATAAATGTATACTAGGTGGTTGCACGCACATATGTGCGGGTATAATTTTTTTTATATACATAGTTAATTATAATATTTAAATATTGATTAGTTTTTTTAAACATTAGTATGTTTGTATATATATTGTTTTAATATTTCATAAACTTCTTTCTAAAACCAATGAATTTAAATTTTTTTTATTTTTATAATGCTTGTAATAATATATAATCACAAATATAAAAGTTATGTTAAATAATTATTAAATTCTTATAATATTTTTTAAATATTTATATAATATGCTTTATTTCTCCTTACACAATCTACAATATGTTTTTTTGCGTCTTACATAATATATTGAATTTGCAGATACATATATAATATATTTTAAGTATATATTTTATTTATTTATTACAAATTAAACTGAAATAGTTTTTACCATTTTTACTTATTCTTAAGAGCGGATAGATGGTTGGCACGCATGTGCGGACATACCAACCACTTCACTACACTTAGAATACATAAATATTTTTAAAAAAATATAAATTGTATAATAATTAAAATAAAAATTAGACTGTAATCAATCTTAACAAAATACATGCACGAAAAAGTTCGCATGTGACTTCAACTAATGTACAATTAATATTTATATATGTACGCATATTTGTAAAAAAATTGAAATATGGCTCTTACGTGTTAAAAATTTTTTAAGTGGCTTTGTAAAAAAACGTGTGAGAGATTTATTTTTATATACTTCTCTTTTTATTTCTTATTCATATTGTTTCATCTTATTTCTTATTCATATTGTTTCATCTTATTCATATTTTTCTGTTCTCAAAATTTTTATATACAATGAAATTAAATTTATGTATATATATGAACATGATGTAAAATTTATTTTTATTTAAAATATGATAAAAGATAAGATGAGATAGTAACATAAGTTATGTATATTTTAGAAAATAACAATAAAAAGATGATAAAAGTTATAGAAAAATATATGGTCCTATTAATATTATGAAATAATAAATAGCATATACTTTATTCATTTAGTAAATATTGGTTTGAAAAGAAAATTTATTTAAAATTACGTTTTTGAAAAAAAAAATTCAATAAAAGTTGATTATTTTTATTATTTTTAACATTTTATTCTTTAAATTATTTTTATCAAGATTGTATTTTATTTAAAATTGTATTATTTAATAATTTGTTTATTTAAAATTTGATTAGATGTTATTAATATATTTTTTTAAATTAATAACTTTCCGAAATAAAAATATATCATACTTCAAGTCTTATTAATAATAGAATTTTTATTATTTTATTGGATAATTAGCATTTTTTTGGTTTTTATATGAAATTATAATATATATATATATATATTGTTGAACAAATTTCGTAATTATATTTTATGAAATTATGAATATATGTAAAAATTTGAAATTATAATAAATTTTATTTTCTGTTAATTTAAATTTGTTAATTTTAGTGTTGTAAATATAATCTAGTTTATTTATATTTCAATTCCACAACTCTTATAATTTTAATTCAACCAATCAAAACATTTTGTTTATTTTAGGAAGTTTGACATGTCACATTTACATGTCATCAATTAAAAGCACTAACTTTGGCTGTAGTGTTGACAAATCAGTTATTTTCAATAATGTTACTTCTCAAATAATATGTAGTGGATGTAAGAATAAAACAATAGTATTTTTATGCTAATGGCAAATGTAATTTGGTATCTCTACTAAATTGCCACTTGATCCTCTTTGAAATTATATAAAGCAAATTACCATTTAAAAAAAAAACTGAGAAATCGCACTTTCCGATAAAACAAAAAATTTCATTTCACCTATTCGTGCCAAAACCAAAACATTCATTTTCTCGTCAAATTTGAAATTTCATTTTCACACCAAAACAAAGAAAATTGCATTTTCCCGCAAAAACTAAAAAATCACATTTTCCTGCGAGAACTTGTGTTTTCCCATCAAAACAGAGAAATCAAGTTTTTTCACCAAGACCAAAAAATCCATTTTCCCATGAAAACCGAGAAATCGTCAATTCCCGCAAAAAAAAAAATCATCGAACTTAAATTCAGACCTTCCTACCAAATCTGATAAACTACAATTTCCCATAAAAACCAAAAATTGCATTATATCATGAGAAATTGTGTTTTCCGCGAAAACTAAAAAATCACATTTTACCGCGAAAAACAAAAAATCACATTATATGTCAAAAAATTGAAAATTTGCATTTTCCATCAAAACCGAGAAATTGCTTATTCCTTCCAAAATCGAGAAATTTTGTTTTTCCATCAAACAGAAAAATTGCATTTTTCGCCAATATCATCAAATTACAATTTCCCACAAAAACTAAGAAATCACATTTCCCAGCAAAAATCAAGAAATCACATTATCCATCAAAAGTCAAAAATTTGCATTTCCTATCAAAACCAAGAAATCGCATTTTTGTCAATTGAAAAGTTGCATTTCCCTTGCATTTTCTCGTCAAAACTAAAATATTTTGTTTTCGCGTCAAAATCAATTTTTTTTTTGTTTTCTCACCAAAGCCAAAAGTTCACATTTTTCCGCAAAACCCGATAATTTATTTTTTCCGCCATAACCAAGAAATTATGTTTTCCTAGCGAAACTGAAAATCACATTTTCCTACCAAAACCAAAAAATTCCCTATTCCCGCTAAATCCATGAAATTTTGTTCTGAGTAACCACTGGAAATATGAATCTCCAAGTTATAGTGGTCTGAGTTTCTCCTCATTTGCTTTCGACTTCCGTTTTTTTGTAAACTTTTGGGCTTTTTAATGAGTCTTCAAAATAGTAATCTGATTTTATTAGTGTGTTAATGATATGTATTATTGTTATATTTTTATTGGTTCAAATTTTTACTGATGTGTGAACTTTTTATAACATAAGGCTTTTTGCGTTATTGGTATAGAAACATAGTTGATGATGAGCCTACACTTTTTCAATCATATACGTCTCTGTCGAACAAACAAATAGCTAAAAACAAAATTATTTATTTGCTGTTATATTTGGGTTTGTGTTTGGCAAAAAATAAAACAAAAATTTAATTTTTTTTATTTGCTGTTATTTATTATTTGAGCTTGGATTTGGCAAACAATAAAATAATTTTTTTTATTTGTTGTTATTTATTATTTGAGCTTTGATTTGTTAAAAAATAAAACAAATTATTAACAAAAAAGTATTTGGGTTTTTAATAGGTTTAAATTTAAAATTTAAAATAAATAGATGAGTTGTATTAATGTTTTAATTTGATTGGTTTGCAAAATAGCTAAGGTGTCAGCTTCTTAAAGATTAAAAAATCTGATGTGTCAACTTATGGAGAGACTTGAATATTATTGTTGTATTGATTTTCTTAAGGTTTTAATACATTTTCGACTCAAAAACTGATTAATGATGAATCGATTCTCGGCTGCTGCTTTATTAACGTCGAGAGGAACGAGATTTGGAGCCTCATCTGCTCCTAGATCAATTTCCTGCATCACTCTTCTGAGATTTGCCTCCATTCTTGCCGAAATTTTAAGATAGAACAGCAAGTACTGATTTGCAATGATTGTTGATGGATAATGTTGTGATTTTGTTCTAACGGCAAAGAAATTGCATCATGTTGTTTAGATTGCAATGTGGAGATATTCATCAGTGAGTGGGTGGTTTCTGTATCAACTTTCTCGATATCGTCGGCCAAAACCATCAGCACTCCAATGAAAAATATTCAAAGAAATAGCTGTTGTAAAATCGCATTTATGATCGCCTCGATTCACCTCGGTTTTCACCGGCAACATTTAAAATTTTAAATTACAAATAAATGGCAGTGTTTAATCCACATAAATTCTCTTATTATTTTATACAAATCAACACTCATTTCTTAACTCTTTACCTTTGTTATTAAAAACATACCCAATACTTAAACAAACTGAAGCCACAAATAAACAACTGCTAATCTTTTTTTGCATTTAACAGAGATTCAGTTAGGGACTTTCTGGCGTGTAAAGAAAATTTACATATTTCACTAAAAAAAATAAAGAGAAAGGTAATAAAAAAGACGATTATCAACCGTTTCTTTTTCTGACACCTTTTCATTCTAACGGCAACAGTTTCATCGGAAAGTAATGTTGGAGTGGCACAATTTCCGGCATCTACCCACTTTGTTTCAAGCATTCCCACGATTGGTACCATGATCAATCATGATGATGATTTCTACTTAATGGTTTCGTTTCAAAATAATTATATAAAATAAAGAGAATATCGAACTGAAGCACAAATCCCAAATTTCTTACTCTCTATGTTGGATAAGTTCCTAAGACACTTTTAAGCTCAAGATATCTTTAATAAATCGGTTAAGATAAGATAGGCTCAAAGGGAAACTTCTATTATCATTAGGAATAGGAAAGAGTAGTATTTTTTTTTGACAACAATAGAAAAGAGTAGTTTTCTATATCCAATAGTAGTAGAAATAGAAATAAGAAGTTGTGTTATCTCTGTATATATCACTAGGCTTTTAACTCGCGCTACGCGCGAGTCTGTATTAATAATTTGGTTTATTTTTTTGACTAATATCTTTTTAATTATCAAAACTATAATATATTTATAGAAATTTTCTTTTATATAAAAAATTAGAACATAATATGTAGTATTTCCTATTTTTGTTTATAAAATTATAAATTTTATTAAGTAAAATCATAGTAATGACACCTAACAAATTATCCAACTTCAATGTGCATATGTTTGATTTAGAAAATAATTTCCTTACTAAATTTT